GCAGGGAGCTTGGTGCTCAGGCTCAGTGCTGGGAGCCGAGGGAGAGGAGCAGCCAGGTGTCTGGGAAATGGGACAGGGAGCTCTCAGGATGGGCTGGGTGTGGGGTGGGAGACTCCCAGGCATCCCGCATGAGGCGTGAGCTGGGGACGGGAGAGGAACCCGGCGTGCGCGCGGGAGAGCCAGGCCGCCTTCCTCTGGGGTGTGTGACGGTGAATGCCGGAAGCCCCTCGGAACATCCATGTACGGGCCGGCAGAGAGGACACGGGCGGGTGAGAGAGGGCTGCAGGCCTTGCTCAAGCCCCATCGGTGTCTCCCTGCCTGCCTTGCAGAACTTAGGCCGCTGTTGGCCTGGGCAAGGAGCCAGCTAATGCCACGTGGCTCATGACCCTGAAGGTCTGTGTCATGGGGCTCCCACCCACCCCAGGCCTTGGTGCTGGTCGGTCCCCACTTGTGGAGATTTCCAGGAAGCCAGTCTTCCCGCCGGTTGCCCATGGCAACGTCAGCGGCCCGAGAGCCGGAGCTGGCGAGAAGCGGCCAGAGAAGGCCGGCCGCTTCCTTGGGCCTTTGCTGGTCGACACCCTGCTTCTGGCTTCTCCCAGGATCCCCGGCTGCCGGCCACGTGTGGATTCTTGTGCAAAACCCACCCCCTGTTTGTTTTCCCCTCCACCCAAATGGAGCCCCTGTTTGGTTCCTTTCTGCTCGGTGGCTTCTTTGGAGGCTGTTGAAACAGACCGGAGGGGGACCCTCGGCAGCGACGGTTCCATAGCTCATTATCTCTCCCCAAACCCGATTATTAGCTCAGATTTCTCTGATCGCTAGCTGCTGTTCGTGACGAGTTGTGTGCCACTAATGCCAGCTGGTCCCCTTAAACAGGACCCACCATGCCAGGGAAAACGGGCTGGCATTCAGAGCCACCAGCTACTTGGCTTTTTCATTTTAATGGGCTCCACCAAATGCTCCAGGCCAAGGGGGCCCCGAGGAGCCCGAACAGACGGGCTCCCAGCCCCCGGTGGGCAGCCACTCTGGCTCTCTCCCGGGCTGCGGCCATGTTCGCTGCTGGGACCGTAGGGCCTGTGTTGGGGCCCGTAGGAGCAGAGGGGGTGAGTGGCCACTTGCCTTCACTGCGTTCATGCCTGCCTGCCACCCGCCCATCACCTTTTCCCCACTACACTCGTCCCCAGCCCCTTCCCTGGAAATGCGCCTGTTGGCCATGCACTCAGACACGTGTGTGTGTGTGTGTGTGTGTGTGTTTTACCCGGTCTGTGTTGGGGAGACTCGGGTTGGCTTTGGGAAAGGGGATGCCAAAAGAGACCTGATCCCCCAGCATGGCTTTCTCTCCTTTCTTCCTCTCTAGGCTGGGTCAGTCACTCTGGACTGTGCCATCCTAGCCAGGGAGCGGAAGGCTTGAGGGCAGGAGGCAAGTCTGCAGGTTTGCTGCAACCGAGGCCCCTATTCTGCCTTGCCCTGGACCACACTCCGGCCCCGCCTGCCTGCAAGCTCCCCGCCGGCCTCTGGGGGGCTCCTGCTCCCCCCGCCTCTCACCCTGTGCAGCGTTCCAAATGCATGTGCGCGTTTCGAACCCAGACCTTCTGATTTCCAGTTTGGGTGGGGATTCCAAGGGCTCTGTCTTCCCCGCCTGGAGTGCCTCCCCGCTTCCACTCCTCGGGGCCCCAGCCCCAAGCTTGTCTTTCCAGGGGGGCTTTCCTGTGCGAACAGCCAGGTTTAAATGGCACGTCTGGCATTAAAGCACTCCTCATGGAGGTGGGGGACAATTGGAAATGAAGTAGCACGGTGGTTAAGAACACAGCTTTGGAATTAGCAGTCCCCGGGTTCAATCCTAGCTTCGCCTGCCTCCTAAGAGCTGTCTGTCCTTGGACAAAATTACTTAACCTGATCCTGTCTGAACGTCTCTGAATCTGTAAGAAGGGGTAACGCCCCATCTAAAAGCCTTGTAGCGGGGCCCTAGCCAGTTTGGTTCAGTGGATAGAGTGTCAGCCCCCGGACTGAAAGGTCCCAGGTTCGACTCAGGTCAAGGGCAAATACCTCAGTTGCAGTCTCAATCCCCAGCCCTGTCAGGGACCATGCAGGAGGCAACCAATTGATGTGTCGTTCCACATTGATGTTTCTCTCTCTCTCTCCTTCTCTTCCTCCTCTTCCTCTTTCTTCTTCTCCTCCTCCTCCTCCTCCTCCTCCTCCTCCTCCCTTCCACTCTCTCTAAAATATCAATGGGGCCGGGACTGGTTTGGCTCAGTGGATAGAGCATCGGCCTGTGGACTGAAAGGTTCCGGGTTCGATTCCGGGCAAGGGCATGTACCTTGGTGGCGGGCACATCACCGGTGGAGGGTGTGCAAGAGGCAGCTGATCAATGATTCTCTCTCATCGATGTTTCTAACTCTCTATCCCTCTCTTTTCTTCTCTGTGAAAAATCAATAAAATATATTTAAAAAATAAAATAAAATAAAGTACCAATGGGAAAATATTCTCAGGTGAGGATTAACAATGACAACAACAACAACAAAAATAGAAGCCTTGTAATGGGGTTTATTTCATGTGAGGTGAGTGGCTGGGCATCTTCCCACCATTCTCCACACTTTCCCTCTCTGCATTCTGTGGGAACACAGTCCCTGGTATTATGGGGGAGGGTACCATTTGAGTCACAGAATTGACAGCCACTGGCTGCTGGGAGCTGGGCTTGATGAGTTCCATCTGCGTGGCAGGGGCAGCCGGGAAGCAGGGCAGCAGGGCCCGGTGTATGTGGCCGCTCCCCCAGCCGCCCCGCTGCCCCACCAAAACATGTCCCAACTGCTGTGCCTCCCAGCACCCCTTGAACAAGCAGAGGGCAAGGGTTGGACTCTGAGCATCAGCGTGAGGCTTCCAGTGGAGGCCAGGCACCCCGGGGCCCAGGCTGGGTGTGTGCCTGGCTGCCCTCTGGCTCTGTGGGGCCCTGGGCTAGCCAAGGGGTGGCTGGCTGGCACATGCTGTCTTCCTGGGTCCCTGGACGGTCTCTGTGGTGCCCTGCTTTGGCTACTGCCGGTGCCCAGCAGCCCTGGAGGCCTCCCCAGGCTAAGCCTCTTCCCCAGCAATGCAGGAGGGCGAAGCCAGAGCCAGGGCTGCGGGTGAGGGGTCTGCTGAGCCAATAGGTGTGCCAGACCAGAGCAGGCAGCCCTGGGACCGCCCGTCCGCCCGCCCGGCCAGGAATACCACAGGGCAGGGCTGGCTCTGGCCTCCCTTGGGGAGCAGAGCCTCTGCATACCTGTCTCCTGGCCACAGGCACATTGCTTCCTCTCTCCTGCCTGAGCTTATGCTTTCCCCACCCAAAGGCCCCGCTCCTCTGCCTGGACTGACCCCACCTTCCCTCTTCCCTTGGCGGATCTCCCCACACATTCCTCTCTGTGTTGGCTCCTGGGTTTACTCCTCAGTCACCGTGTACTCAGTGTGAACTACATGCCGTCCACTGCCTTAGCTGCTGGGCATGTGAAGATGAAAAAGAGACAGTGCTTCCCTCCCTCTCTCCCTCCCTCCCTCCCTCCCAGCCTGGCGGAGGACATCACACCCCCATGGCATTCTGAGGCTGGGAAGGAGGGGCTGTGATGTGCAGGGCAGGAACTTCCTGCCAGGGAGAGGCGACATCATTCTTATAGAGCTTAGTGTAATGAGGCCTCTTTTTGAAAATATATATTTTATTGATTTTTTTTTTTTTTTTTTACAGAGAGGAAGGGAGAGAGAGAGAGAGAGCTAGAAACATCGATGAAAGAGAAACATCAATCAGCTGCCTCCTGCACACCTCCGACTGGGGATGTGCCCACAACCAAGGTACATGCCCTTGACTGAAATCGAACCTGGGACCTTTCAGTCCGCAGGCTGACGCTCTATCCACTGAGCCAAACTGGTTTCGGCTGAGGCCTCTTATGCTAAAACACTTATGTACATTCTCCTGACAGCTTGGTTCCGTATCTCATTATGATGCTGTAGACGTTGTCCCTTTTTACAGGCAAGGAAACCGAGGCAAGGCTTCAGAGGCCTGGTGACTAAGGGTTTAAAGGTCATTTGCTCCCACTGTAGGCAGTGATCCTGGAGGCGGGGATCGAGGTGGGCCGTGAGAATGGGCGAGGATCGAGGAGAGGAAGGAAGGCGTCCCTGGCAGGGGGACTGGCGTGGGCCAAGGCCCTGAGGCCAGACTCTCACGTAACCTCCGATACACAGCAGCCTGCACTCACAGGAGAGCATGGGGCGGGGAGTGGGGAGCTGAGGTCACGGAGGCCAAGGCTGCTGCGTGGAGCTGGTACCTTCCTGCCCAGATCGTGGGGAGGAGTGGGTGGCGGTGACTGTGGTTGGGCCTGTGCTCTGGAAAGACCGAGGGCAGCGTGGGGATGAACTGGAGTGGGGAGAGCCCGAGGCGAAGGCCAGGGGTCTCTGGTGTCCTGGGCCCGGTGAGTGACGACAAGCCGGAGCCCAGGATGTCCACTGCACACACACACACACACACACACACACACACACACACACACACACCCCTGCCCGCCTCTGGGCTGCTCTCCTTGGCTCCGCAGGCACCTGTGGGCAGGTGCATGGACCTCACCCTCCTGAGACCTCATGATTGGCCAGGCCCATGCCTGGGCTCACAGCGGAGCCCAGAAATGTGGTGCTTAGAGACTGGGAATAAGGGGGTCCCACACTACATTTATTTGCAACAGAAACCACCCCACCTACACTTTCCCCCGCTGAGAGAGGCCGTGTATGTGTGTACACACACACACACACACACACACACACACACAGCTGATGCTTTACCTCTCTCCTTTCTGAGGAGCCGGTTAATGGGATGATGGGGCAGTGACGCTTTAAACAGCCACACTGCAGTTCCGCAATCGAGGGGCGGGGGCGGGGGACAGCGGCAGGGGAAGATGGCGCCCCTCACTCTCCGCTCTTCCCCCAGGCTGCCCCCTCCCTCCCACAGGCGGCTGCAGCACCGTGTGCTCTTTCTGTTTTCTCTCTCCAAGGTGGGCCTTAATGTCTTGGTTCAGAAAGCCAACAAGTTCACCCCGGCCACCCGCCTTCTCGTCCAGAGATTTGTGCCCTTCCCCGCTGTAGGTAAGCTGCACAGTGCTGAGCATCTGCGTGTGTGTGTGTGTGTGTGTGTGCATCATATGCGTGTGCATGGGCATGGGGGTCTATGGGGCTCTCTGTGCTCTCGGGAGGGGGTCCTGACATGGGGTGGGAGGTGTTTCTTCGCAGGGACAACTGGAACAGGACGTGTGGCGATAGAGGAAAAGGTAACAGGGGCCAGGCTGACGAGCTCTGTGTCCAAAATTCTACACAGAGTTTCTTAGCCTGGGATCCCAGGTCCCTGCAGGGTCAGGAGATAGAAGGCAGTGGATCCCAGGAACTTGGCTGGGGCAGAATTGATACTAACCTCTAACTGAAATGCAACGTTTCCTTCCTTTATGAATGTAGGCAGCCAACCACGGTAACAAGCAGGCCCGGTGACTGTCACCAATAGAAATCACACATGTTCTCATGTCTCATCACAGCTGCAGAGACCTTAAAATATGGTTCAAAATTAGTACCAACAGATCCGCTGGTAGATCTTGTTTTTAATTCATGAGTTAAAAGGCAAATCTATTACTATATCACAATTTTTAAAGTATTTTGATGACATTTCAATGGAATTCCTTTGTTTTCGGCATGTAGACACATTATTTGGAGGGAGGTGCCCGGGCCTCCCCAGACTGTCCCAGTTCCTGACACAAAGCTCCCGCTAGTCTAGGGTTCCTTGGGAATTGTGGGCCCATTGGGTTTCGCAGCCCCCACGCACCTCCGGGTAATTGTGGGCGCATGAGTGTGTGCAGAGGGGATCTCGTCTGCCTTCAGCCCAGTCTGTGCTGGCCTCGGGGCCTCTGAGCTCACAGCAGATGCCCCAGGCCTGGGCCTGGAAATCCTCAAAGCCCAGGCGGCTCTCACACATTGCGGGCCAGTAGTTTTAGTGCTGGCTTTACCCAGAGGCCAGGTAAGTTTCTACTAAACAAATACAAAAAAAAGTTTTACATAAACGTGAAAGGCACACTTTAAAATTAAATGCCCACTGCACTTTGAAGTTACGTATTACGTGTTCTTACCAGGTAATATCTTTTTAAAGTATACTTTGTAATGTGAAGGGAGAATTCTCGTGATCCGTCCGCAATGTGTTAAGAAGCCCACACCTTGTTTGGGAAGGGCACCCCTTTGGGAAGTTTTTTAAAAATTAAAAAGAAATAAACAACATCGAAAGACACCTGAGGCAGCCGGTGATCAGTAATCCAAAGAGGAGCCTCAGCCAGGGTTTGAACCATGACACTGAGTTCCCCACCTGAGGCCAGAGGACAAAGATGGGGGGGGGGGGGCGGCCCCAGGGTGAGGGGGTCCTGTGACGTCCTTGGTGCCAAGGCTCCATCTAAAGGGCTGGGCGTCAGACCCAAGTTCATGGCCCAGACCCTGCTCTCCTCCTCCAGAGCTCAGTCTCCCCATCTGTACAATGGGCACCAGTACTTACCTTCCTACAGGCCAGAGCTGTGAGAGGATCACATGAGACCCCAGACCAGATTCCATTCCAGGGAGAGCGCCTTGAAGCACCTGGAAAGCTCCCGGGAGACCATTCCGGGGCGGCCCCACCTCCTCTGTGGCCCAGAGGCTAATGGACTCCCGGGACCAGCCTGCTTGATGAGCCTTGGCCAACCCAGATAATTGCTATAGCAACTCCACACTTTTAATGAACCCTCAGCTATTTCTAGTGTGGGCCATTAATGCAATGACTCTTTAGATCTGACTTTGTTAAGGGGCCTCATTGAGTGAACACGGCTGCTGTTCTCGTGGTCCTCACCATCCTGGGCTGGAGGGGTAAGTGCAGCCCGAGAAGGGGGCAGCTCTCAGCCGCCCTGGACTGGATCCGGGACTCGGCTGAGATGTAATCTGTCCTTGAGCCAGGCTCCAAACAAGGACTCCGCCAGGGCCCATTCCAGCCCTGCTCTCCTGGCCGTCTTGCAGGGTGACCTTGGAGGGGGTCTTCACCTCTGTGGGGCTCCTGAACGCAGGAGGAGGGTCCCTGCTTTCAGGTCTGACCCTTTCTGTCACCCCCACCTGAGACTTTCTGTCTCTGGTTGGGCTCCAGCGTGATTCCTCCTCTCCTGCCTTCTTGTTGGGGAGGAGCCTACAGCCTCTCGCACACGTCCAGCCACCACTCAGGGGCCTAGTGCTCCTGTGTACCCCTGGCCAGCTGCACAGGCGGCACTCTGAGTGGTGTGCAGCCCTGAGAGTCCTAGCTGGCCAGAATCCTGAGAGAAGCAGGCCCTTTGTGGCCCCTTCCTCAGGTCCATGCCCAAGTCCTGGCTGTGGACCTGCCCGCCTTCCACCTCCTCCACATTCAAGCTTCCGTCTTTCTGGCACCCAATGCCCATCCCAGGCCCAACTGCCAATGGTCACTAGCTGACGCCCCTGGTCATTGCTGACACAGTGGTAATGGGCATGCCTCTCTCTCTCCGGGGGTTCAAAATTCCCTTGGTCCTCTCAGGCCACCATCTAGTCCGTGCATAGGGCCTCCCTCCACCTGATCCCCAGGGCCCTCTGGCCAGGACAGAAGATCTCTAAGCTTTCCACGGCGTGCTGGTGCCACCAGCTGCCCAGCCCTGCTTTCCACGGCAGGCTGGGCCAGACGGGGCCGGGCCACGGCTCAGACCCCTGAGAAGGCCGCTCAGGACTTGCTTTCCCCAGTGGAGGGTTCTTTGCCCCTCTGGAGGCCTGGCCGGGTGGGAAGACAGGACTCCCGGAGCTGTGAGCACACAAGGGAAGTGACGGGTTGAGCCCTGGGTGTCGGGATGTGTCTGTAGGAGGATGGAACAAAAAGGGGTCTTCAGGGTGAGGGAGGGTCCTGAAGGGGCTTCGGTGCACTGTGCTCAGAGGCCACCTCCCGACTCTGCCTCCTGGGCCGGCTGGAAACTCAGACTCAGGGGAACCAGAAGGCTCCAGGGGGTCAGTTGCTTCTTCCCACTGGGCTCCTGCCCCCGGGCTGAGGTCCAGGAAGCAGGAGGACTGCTCTCTGCACTGAGACCCTGGTGCTGTCCAGGAGAGAGGCCTGAGACCCCTGGCCCAGGACACCTGGCTCACGCCTGACTCTGCCACTCCCCCCCCCCCTCCCTGGCCTGGGACCAGGTCCTACTTCAGCCCTTTTCTGCTGGGGCCGCAGCCTCCCCGGGGCTTGTAAAGCCCAGTATTCCTGGGGCTCCACAGCTCTCCCCATTCCCCCAGGGGCTCTGTTCCCCTCAACTCTCCTCCTTCTCTCTCCGGGAGGACCCTAGGCAGAGGGAGCCATCCCATTTGCAGAAGAAACGAATTCGGACTCACTGAACGTTCTCCTGTCCTGGCCACAGCCCAGGCTCCTCCAGCCACTGAATGCCCTCCGCTTCAGTCACTGAGAAACTGAGGGGCGTGGTCCAGAGGCCGGCTGTGCCCTGTCCCACCAGGACCACCTCTAGTTTGGCCCCTGATTTTTCAGCTGGGGGTATGCATGTGCACGTGTGTGTGTGTGTGTGTGCGTGTGCGTGCGTGTGCGTGTGCGTGTGTGTGTGTGCGTGTGTGTGTGTGTGTGTGTGTAGTACGTGGGGAGCCACAAGGACTCTCCCTGCAGCCTCTCCCCCGAGGTGGTTTCAGAGCTGTGCCGGACCCTGGTCTGGAACAGCAATCATGTGGGAAATCTCGTTTCTATTTATACATGGACATGTTAGGAAAGACGGTGTGCGCTGGCATCAGAATCGATTGGGGACTGGTAATTAATTTGTTTAGACCTTAATTAATTCTCCAGTTCTTTCTTATTTGTGGACTGTCACGCTTAATTGTGTTCAGGAGCCGGAGCTCGGAGCAGGCCCTCCATTAATTGACGTGCAGTTGCTGTGAGGTGGAAGTTAATGGTTTGGGGAGCTGGGCAAACAGTGTAATTAAAGGTCAATTGAGGCGGCATCGGAAAAGTACAAGCTTCCAGGTCCAGCCGCCTGGCTCCGCGCGCAGAGTCCGTTCCCTTCACAGGAGGCCTTGCGGGGAGGGAGGAGGGGGGGCTGGGAGCAATGACCGGCAAGAGGAGGTCCCGCCGGGGCCATATGGGCTGGCCAGAAGAGTAGGTGCACCTTGTCAGGAAAAGGCGGGCAGAGCTGAGAGGTGGCGACCCCAGGGGTCACCTGGCAAGCGTGGCCGTGTACTCAGGCTCCTGTGTACATGTGAGCAGGAGCCAGGGCAGGGAGCTCTGAAGGTCACCCCCAGACTGCCTGGCTGAATCCATGCCGAGCAGGCACAAGCAGTGCTCTGTGCTCATAAAGACCCCTGTGTGGGCTCTGAGCTCCTGCTGGGGAGGCCTGGGCCCCAGCACCCACCCGCCCGCCAATTCCCTGCAGAGGGAGCAACCTTCCCGCCCGGCCCAGAAATGCCAGCCTCGGCATCCCCTCGTTGGGGAGTGACTTTTCCCTGCGCTGTCGACGGCAGTCTCTTATGTTAAATGTTATGACTTATTTCATTCCCATGAAGAAATCTCGGCATTCACCAGTCGCCCGTTTCTCAGGATGTCTGGGCAGCCTCTGCGAGGCCTTGTGTTCGTTCACACAGTGTGCCCGTGTCGCCCACGTCTGCCCCCAACGCCATGCTCCCTGGGGTCCAGCCCACAGGGGTCTTGGTATCACTGTCTTCCCCCCACACACACCCCACCCTACCTCCACGCCATTGCTCCCGCCTTGCTGCTCATTCCACCCTCCCCAGAAGGTGCCCACAGCAGTGTACCTGCCCCAGGCTCAGCCCAGGCCTGCCCCTCACCCATTCCTCTTCCTTTGACACCAGTGGGTGCCGGCTGTGTCCTGGGCCTCATGACCTATGCTCCCTCCACCCAGGTCAATGATAATGTGGTGTCCACAGCCCCCAGGTGTGGCCCACTCAGATTCCTCGTGGCCATAGCCATAGCCAGGGGAACGTGTGGCTTCCCTCCTGCCTCTCTCTCTGCCCCAAGCCTTTGTCTACAGCCCTGTTGGCCTGGAGTCACCATGCCTCACGCTACCTCAGCCCTCCCTCTGCCTTCCCTTGGC